AAAGTGGTAAGACATATTATTAGCCAGGCTCTTGATTTGGAAATGATCCATGAGCCATGAAATATTAGTGGGAGTGAGTGTATTGGTGCTATGAACATTCTGGGGTATTAAAATGCCATTGACCTCCACAACTACCAAGGTATAAAAATAACAAATGCTAATGAAATGACCTGACTGCTGAGAGCATGCAGTTTGCCCCTTGTCAACGTTCCGCTTCATGAAATATAGGCCACTCTGCCTCCCCTGCCTATGTCAGACTGTCCAGGAGAGTATGCACTTCATTATTCTGCTGCTATCCATCAAAACTTCCGTGCCCAAAAAGTATTAGGGGGAAATAATGCCTTCTCTTTTTCCTTTTTTTTTTTTTTTCAGACTGGAGAGTTTGTTGAATAATGGAATTAAGATTTGGGACCGAGGAAGTGATGATACTTTGGGCCCAGGTAATCTGATTATACTATTTGGCTTTATCAATGACTACTATTTGCTATGGACTGCATGTTTGTGTTTCTCCCAGGGTCATATCTGGACACCCTAATTCCCAATGAGCTAGTTTTAGGATGTGGGGCCTTTGGAAGGTAATTAAGTTTGGAGGAGGTCATGAGAGTGGAGCTCCCACAGTGGGATTAAAGTCCTCATTAGAAGAGAAAGAGATGAGAGTTTGCGACCTGGGTCAGCTGAGGGTATAGCAAGGAAGCAGCCATCTGCAAGCCAAGGAGCAGGCCCTCCCCAGGCCTCAGGTCTGCTGGATCTTAGACCTCATCTTGGACTTCCCAGCCTCCAGAACTGTGAGAATTAAACGTTTCTTGTTTAAGCCACTCGGTCTATGGTATTTTTGTTACAGCAGCTCAAACTGCCGCAATTCTTCCTGAGCAAACCTCAGTAATACACTCTTTGTAATAAGGTGCAAGTGTGGCATTTACACTAAAAAGAGCCGTGGCTATAGTTGAGACTCATGTACTAAGGGTTACAAATATAAATGAATTTCAAGTTTTGGAAAACTGTTGATCAGCATGGTGAAGAAAAATGACACTCTTCGGGTGGTTTATCAAGTATGTACTGAACACCTATTGTATACAGAGCATTGATTCAGATACTAAGAATTGTCTGGAATAGATGCTAAGGACTTAACGAGATAATGTTCTTGCGCACACAGAAGAGGAAATACATGGATTAAATGATGTGAGGTCAGTTATGGAAGAATGCATCAGTGTCTGATGAGTATTATCCAAGTACAAACTGAATAAATCATGCTAAGAAAAGGCAATATGAAGATGGCCAAGACCAGCAGATTCACAGGTAAAAATCATGAGCTGATAATTCACAAAAGTGAAATATTACTCGTTCACAAAGATGGGAGGATGTTCACTTTCACTAGTAATCAAGGGATTGCAAGTTAAACCAACACCACCAATATATTAGTCCTCTCTGTCAACGTGGCAACTTCTCTTTTTCTTTGTGAAGACAATTCCTCACGCAGGCAAGGCTGCACAGCCCGTTGGGGAGTTACTTGGCAAGATGTAACAAGCATCTTCAAATATTCACACCCTTTGACTCTGGTAATTCCAATTCTGGGAACCTCTCTCCTAAAGAAATGGCTAATTCTAAATAACAAAAAAGCTTTTTGAGGTGAACAGCAGTGCCTTTTTTAATGGTGGAAAATTGAAAACAATGTCAATTCCTGAATTTATGCAACGGTTAAGTAAATTATGGTAAATCTACCAAAGCCCTAACATTTTTTAATCTGTTTTTTAAATTGAAGTTTAGTCAGTTTACAATGTTATTTTAATTTCTGGGGTACAGCATAGTGATTCGTTTATATACATGTATGTATATGTTCCTTTTCATATTCTTTTTTATTATAGGCTATTGTAAGGTATTGAATATAGTTCCCTGTGCTATACAGTAGGACCTTTTTTTTAAAATCTATTTTATGTATAGTAGTTAGTATCTACAAATCTCAAAGTTCCAATTTATCGCTCCCCACCCCCATTCCCCCAGTAACCATAAGTTTGTGTCTTTTTTTTTTTCAGATTTCACATATAAGTGATATATGATATTTTTCTTTCCCTCTCTTGTTTACTTTAAGCACTAACATTTACTGAGGGTTACTTTGTGCCAGATTCTGTTCTAGACCCTGTTGCTATCTTAATGCATTTAATTTTCATGGAGACTTTTGTTGCTATTCCAGTTTTACAGATGAGGAAACTGAGGCACAGAGAGGTTAAATCACCTGCCCGAAGTCACCCAAGTAGCATGTGACGAAGCGGGGATTCAAATGTAAGCAGCCCTAGACTGATGGGATATTTTACAGATATTTAATAATAGGTTTATACAGCATATATAGCACATGACAAACGCTTATGAAAATATTAAAATAGCCCAGTATATTGTGAGACAATAGCCTAAGTCAAAGGTATGTTCAAAACCAACCATATATGCAGTATATATAATAACTAGAAAGAGATAAATAGTCTGAATTTTGCTGGCTTTTAAGGCCTTCCTTTTGGTTCCAAATAATTTTCATATTTCCCACTGCTTCATTACATGACTCTTTCTCTATAATCTAGGCTGTTTTTCTGCCCCCCTCCCTGCCTATATCCATGATGTGAATTATAAATGACTTCCCCACCCGCATATCAGCCATCCCCTGCTCGCTCTTCTGTAGATATTTTTCAAAGCCCAGTGTCAGTTCTGCTTCCCCCAAGATCTGTCCAAGATTGGCCCAGCTCACGCTGACCACTCAGCTCTCTGACATCCATTGCACTGACCCTTCACAATTTGTCACTCTGTCCCACGCTGTCTCATTTATTCATTGCTTCCCGTGTATTTATGTGTTCTCTGAGCTGGTCTGTGTGCTTCTTGAGGATGAGGGAGTTGTCTTGTATGTCTCTTATCTCTCCAGCAGCTCTTATCAGAGGATGGAGCACAAAGAAGGTCCTAAATACATGCTGATTCACTGAGACTAGTGTTAAGGTATAACAAACATTTTTCTTAAAGCTCATTTATGTATGTATGTATATGTACTTTTTTTTTTGCTTTAAAATAGAGGAAATTTGTTTAAACAAACAGGGCTTTATTTCAAACACAAGAATTATAGAGAAGTCAGACTTCAACACTTAAAATAATAATAGAATATTCCAATTAGACAGGATCTTTAAGGTCTTACAATTCAACTCTTTATTTGACCAATAAGGAAAATGAGATCCAGTGAAATGAAGAACTTGGCCCAGGTTCTACAGGAGTAGAATTAGGACTCGAATCCAGGGCTCACACTTCCCAGGGAAGTGCTGAGACAGACCACAGGACACGTGCACTGCTCCCACCCACATTCAGATGTCTCCTCTCTCCCCTTGCGCTCCATCCCTTACTTCTCCAGTTCTCCATTTCCCCCTCTAATTCACAACATGGACCTTGCAGCCAGGTCATTCTCCAAATGCAAAGGTCCTGGAATAATCTCCCCCTGGCAGAAGAGAAGAGAGAGAGTTTACTGAACATCTTTTCTTTCCTGATCTGTTTGGCTCCTCCGGATTTTCTGCACCCTGGCACAGACTGCCCTGCGTGTCTGTGGAGAGACAACCCTTGCCAGATTCTGCATTCAAAAGTTTTGGCTTTTATTAGAAAGAGCTGTAACTTTTTTGACCACAGTACATCAAGTCCCCTGACATGCAACCACTGAGAGCCTTTGAATCCATAACATGACACTTGTTTTTATTTTTAAAAATTCATTAATCTTCATTAAGCATCCCACTCTCCTCTCAGGTCGATGATGGCATTTCCTGACCCCACCATCTTTATTGGAAACAATATTATTTCTTTTCTCTGATCACTTGTGTGAATGAGTATCCACACTCACAAGAGCATGGTTCCTAAATGATGTTTATTATGTAACATATGGTGGAAAATTAAAAAGGCCTGTGTAGTCACTAAGGTGCACTGGCCCACAGCCGTTCCTCCCTGCTGGCGCCGCCTGCTGGTCTACCGTGGCCGGAGCTGCAGTCCCTGGTGGCTCACGTTACCCTCAGCTCAGGAGAGTAATGCTCTGAGAACTGATTAAATGTGACTTTTCATGCTTCCCTGAAGTCTGCTGATGGAACCTCGCATGATGATGCAGAAGGCAGCCTGCATTGCAACACGCTGTAATCTGGCTGGAATTAAATGAGCTTAAATAACAAATGCTCAGATCGTGGTTACTAATTAAGAGTGATGCCAGGATGCCTATAAGTTTTACATATGTTCCTCATTTGGCTGAAATGTTGACAATGAGTAATGCAACACAGACTTGGTCACCTGACCCCCAGGCAGCCGTGCTAGTTGGCTGGGAGATAAGATCCCAGTGAAAACCTTGAGGCTGTAAGTCAGGCTGGTCTTAAAGATGACTGTACTGACCAGAATGGCCAATCTATCACGAGTGTGTGTGTGTGTGTGTGTGAGAGAGAGAGAGAGACAGACAGACAGATAGACAGGTGGACAGACAGGGTATACTTTGCCTTGCAGGGAGATCAGAACAGATGCCAAAGCCTGACACTAGGAGGGCCATAAATAATTAGTAAAGGGCTTCATCCACTAGCCCCTGAGTGCACTCATGTGTGTCTCATAACTATGTGGTACCCAGGAAACAAGGAAAGACTGAAGCCAAAGATAAATCTCATATACTATGTGGCCAGCACTCTCCAGTGACCTTGGAAAATGTCCTCTTGGTAAGACCATGAAATGTACGGTTTCGAATGCATAGCCAGCCTCTCCAGCACATTCAAAGGTCACCACTGGCGGGACATAGTCCCTTCACCCACTCCTGCACATTTCTCCCCCTTTGGCTCTGCTTGTCATACCTACCTTCTTCCTGGTATGTGCTGACTCCAGACCCTTGACAGTCTTCTTTTACCTGGTCCTGGGACCTTGTCCTGGGATTGACCTCAGCACACTGAGGTCAGCACTGGGGCACGATCAAGTCCCGTCAGACTCACCCTTCTTTGCCAGTTCTGGCTTCCCCGCAGTCCCTCTACCTCCCTGCCCCTATTGTGTCCCTGATATTAAGACAAAGTTTCAATCACCATTAATCTGGTTTTTCCCTTTAGAATTAAAAATGAGAAAAATAGGTCTTCTGTCTGTGTCTCTGTCTTACTCTCAGCCTGCCTCTCGCATCTGTACTAGCTTCCTGGCCCATAAGACCCTCCCCCTTGGAGGACTCAGAGAATCTGTCGTCGTGGTTTGGTGACAAAGAGCACAGGCTTTCATCAGACCAATCTTCATCCTAATTTTGGGCTTTTTCCACTGGGATGGATGACTTCTTCCGAGTCTCAGTTTCTCCTCTATAAAATGGAGATAATACCTACTACACAAATTTATTGTAAAGATTAAAGGAAATAATATATACCCTACATTTAGCATGGGGCTGGTACAAAACAGGCAGTCAAAAATAGTAACTAATAATATTTATTAACGTTTCTCTCCTTCTCCAGTTACTTTCCTTACGACCTTAATTTCTGGTGTAAGTCAATAGTGTTGGATGGTAGGAGTCAGAGATGAATGTTCCAAATTAGTGGATTGTTGAATACCAGGCATACCTTGGAGATGCTGCAAGTTTGGGTCCAGACCAGCACAATAAAGTGAAAAACGCATTAAACTGAGTCACACGAATCTTTTTAGTTTCTCAGTGCACATAAAAATTGTTTACACTACACTGTAATCTATTAAGTGTGCAATAGCATTATAGCTAAAAAAAAGTATATATACTTAAATTCAAAATAATTTATTGCTTAATAAATGCTATCATCTGAGCTTTCAGCAAGTCATAATCCTTTTGCTGGTGGAAGTTTTGAAACATTGTAAGAATTACCAAAATGTGATGCAGAGACATGAAATGAGCAAATGCTGTTGGAAAAATGGCACTGATAGACTTGGCTAAATGTAGAGTTGCCATCACACAGAGTCATTAAAAAAAAATGCAACATGTGTGAAGCGCAGTAAAATGAATTGAGCCTCTTCTCTAAAACTTCTTCAGGACTGTGCATCACTTGAGCCATGGTTATCATCATCCAAAATTCAGATCCTTAATAAAAGAGAATTAATACATCACTGATCAGTGTTCTTCCCTCATGTTGGACCAGCTAGCCCAGACCCTTTCCCACATTATGAGGATAAGGAGAGTGTAACAAATTTGACAAAAGGTGAACACCCCTACTGGGTTGGGGACTTTGGCATTCCAAGACCAAACAGTAACTCGACTTACTGTTGAGTATGTAAGGCAGGTGTGAAGGTCCAACAAAATAATTTCCCCCTGCACTGAAGCTGCTGAACCGTAGAAGACAGCTTTAACTAAAGAGAAAATCCACTGAGGTCTCCTGGAGGGAGTTGCGTTGTATGAATAGAGTGAGTTTTAATTTTAGTCTGCAGATATGAGCTTTGTAACAGGGCACTGCTGTCACCAGCAGGCCCTGGCTTTGTCAGCATGGCTCCACGTCTTTGTAACCCTAGCCGGCCGGTGTCGCAGTCTTGCATTTCAGTGTGTTAAATATTTACCAACAACCTATTGGCCATATGTCTTTGGAGCGTGTGTGGTGACAGACTCACTACTCGGCACATTTTCAAGTGGATTCTGTAGGATCTGCAGGGTTCTGTGAGCTCACAGATCCTTTTTAATAACCAAGTCTTTTGTCCTTTTTAGTCCTCCTGTTCGATAAGGTCATGTCAATACCATACAGAGGGTTCTGTGGGAGTGAATTTGTCCAATCATTCTTCCTTCCATGTTCTTTCTTCCTATCGTACCATGAACGATATCAGTATTCCCTACTCATTGCTTGTTGACTTGACAGTATTAGCTTTATCTGTTGTACAGGTGCAGACACATTTTTCCTTTAGAAAATGAAATTATCCTGAGAGTTGAACTCTGCTTACGATGCTTATTTGCCAATAAGTGCCGATTCCCTCTATGCTGTTTGAAGGAAAACTCACTTGAAATGATAAACTTTGGATTTAGACTTGCTGGGTTTTCAAATTGAAAGGCATTCCATGGAGAAAATGTAGGAGTTTATAACATTAAGCACCTCTTGAGAAATGTTTCAAGATAAATTGCATATCCGATTAGAAGGGGCTGATCCTGTGAGGAATCAGATATTCTCCATTCTAATAGCTCAGATCCACTCAACAGACGTTTCCTGAGGTCCTACTAAGCACCTCTCCCTTTGCTAAGCGTGGAGCTAAAAAGTTCAGATAGTTTCTGCTCAAGGGTTATGGGGCTGGTCTATCATTTCTTGGAAACTTAGCACTTCTCTCTCACACCTTGACTTATATGAAATGACAACAGATTTATTTTTTAAGGAAACTTACTTAAAGCCAACATGCTGGTAAGAGTGCATAAATTTATAGCTTTATCAGCTATAATATAGCCCAACATGAGTTTTCACTTTCTTACTCTCTTTACAATCTATAATTTTTGTAGATTTACGGTAATAGATCTGCATTTGAGTTTTTCACTTATTATCGGCATATGAGATATTATTTGAGTTTTGATCCTGCAGGGAACCTGGACATTGTGTCATTTTCCACGGAGTGGGGTGAAAATGAGAACTTTGATCTAAATTTAAGCTGATTAAAGACCTTGGTGTTCGATACTCCTCAGTTGACGCTGTTTCTGTATGTGTTGTGTGAAACGGAGACATACCATTAGTGCAGAGTTTCAGTCTATGCTGAACTTGAACGTCAATCAGGCAGAGCCCTAGGGAGGTAAGTTTGGACCAGATTTCAGCCATGATCTCAATATTTACTTTCCTTACAGTCCAGTGACATATGTATACATAATATTATGCTTAATATTGTTAAGTAATTGTGTTTCGAGAACATTAAAGTCCTGATAATGCAGATGATAATAGATGGTAACACATGAAGGGAGAAAATAAATTTACTGGCCATAGACGATCACAATTATTTAATATTTTAATGTCTCAGTATGTGGTGTACGTAATGTGAGGCACTGGTTTTGCCTACCAGCTTAGAGCAGGCAAAGGTAGAAAGCAACACAGGCTTAAATGTTAATAAAATGGCAGGCACAGGCTGTGTTGTGTGGAGCACTTTGTGTTGTGGTCAGTTTCAGTTTACTGTGTACTCTCCATGCATCGCGTGTAAGTGCTTACGAAATGGGCTTTTCTGGTTATTGCAGGTGTAACGTCAGTGGAGAGAGAGTTCAGACTTCAGAATTAGGTGCTCAAGGTGCTATTACTCGTTTTACTATTTAACTTTCAAGACTTTTACATGTTACATTTCACTGTTTTGTTATGATCAAGATTAAGCAATTATCCAGATATTGGTGATTTCAAAACAACTGGTTGATCAGAAGTAGTAACACTAGTACCTGACATTTATGTGGTGCTCCCTAAGTGCCAAGCACTTTCTAAGTATTCTCCGGTTATACTTACAACTCCCCTAGGTAGGTACTACTATTTCTCCATTTTACAGTTGAGGAAACTGAGGCACAAATGTAATAACTCAATTGCATACAGCTTCAGGCTTGCGTAGGGAAAAATACAAAGATTCCAGTTCCTTCCTTTGCAACCTTGACCATCTTGCGTATGTATCACCAATACATTAAGTTAGTTAATTCAACAATAATTACTCAGGGCTTGCTCTGGGGGTG